TGGGCAATGACATGAGTTGTCAAATTAAGGGTATTGGGAAGATAAAATTGATGTTAACTGAAAATTATACCCTTGAATTAGAAAATGCTAGATGTGTTCCTGAATTAAAAAGGAATCTAATCTCCCTGGGAGAATTGGATGAAAAATACAACATCACTATACATAAGAGTCTTCTGAGATTATCTTTAGGGAACATATGTGTTATTTCCTCTTCAAAAATAAATGACATCTATACAATTTCTGCTGAACCAGTAATAAGCCATTGTACCACAGCCTCAAATCATGTTTCTGATAAGTCATTAATTTGGCATAAAAGATTGGGGCACATTTCAGAGAAAGGTCTAATCATTTTAAACAAACTTGGATGTTTTGGAAGTGATAATATTGAAAAATTAGACTTTTGTAAAAATTGTACTGTTGAAAAACTGAAAAGATTGTCTTTTAAAACTGGAATCCATAAATCCACTTCAATCTTGGATTACTTACATGCTGATCTGCGGGGTCCAGCATCAGTAAATACACTTAGTGGATTTAGGTTCTATCTACTAATAGTAGATGACTTTTTAAAAAAAATATGGACTTTTTTCTTAAAACAAAAGTCTGATACTTTTCTGATTTTCAAACAATGGAAGTCTATGATTAAAAATCAAACGAACAAGAAAATCAAAGCACTGAGAACTGATAATAGACTTGAATTTTGTAACTTTGAATTTAATTCATTTTGTAAAGAATTTGGAATTCTTAGACATAAAACTATAATATACACACCTTAACAAAATGGAGTTGCCGAGAGAATGAATAGGACTCTTTTAGAAAAAGTTAGATGTATGTTATATTGCTCTAGTCTTCCTAAGTTTTTTTGTGGTGAAGCCCTAAATACTGCAATTTTACTAATAAATAGAAGTCCATCCAGTGCTATTGATTGTCAAGTCCCTGAAAAGTTGTGGTCTGGAAAAACAACTGACTATAACAAATTCAAAGTGTTTGGATGTGCTGCCTATTCTCATAAAATGAAGGCAAACTAGAGCCTAGATCCCAAAAATGTGTTTTTTTGGAATATGGGGAGGAAACAAAAGGTTATAGGCTGTGGGTTAAAGAACAAAATGGTTTTAAAGTCATAATAAGCAGAGATATAATTTTTAATAAAAATGATATGCCTTGTATCAAATCTGGAGACCCTAAAATTCTTGACTATGCACTTGTTAAACAAAGCATCATGGAAACTCAAACATAGAATGCTGTAAATCAAGATGATAATTTTGAGGTGGAGCTTATTCAATCTGAAATAAGTAATGAGCATGATGAATCTGAAAATGAAGTTGAAACATCAGATAATACTCTTACTGATTACCAGTTAACTAGCGATAGGGAAAGAAGAACCATAATTCCCTCCAACAGGTTTAATAGTGAAGAATTTGTCATTCTATTTTCTGCTCTTGATTCTTTAAATTTAGAACCTATATCCTTTGATGAAGCCATTATATGTCCTGATTCTAAGCTTTGGAAGAAAGTCATGAATGAGGAAATGGATTCACTTGTTAAAAATAAAACTTGGATTTTAATTAATAGACCTAAAAATCAAAAGGTTGTAGACTATAAATGGATTTTTAAAATAAAAGAAGGAGATTCAAATACAGAAAATAAGAGGTATAAGGCCAGACTAGTGGCCAAAGGTTTCACTCAAAGGGAAGGAGTGGATTACAATGAAATATTTTTCCCAGTTGCCAAATATACTACAATCAGAATCCTATTGGCTCTAACTACTCACTTTAACTGGGAATTAGAACAACTTGATGTTAAAACAACATTTTTGAATGGTGACCTTGATGAGACTATATACATGAATCGACCTGAAGGATTTGAAGTAAAATCTAAATTAGATAAAGTTTGCTTGTTAAAGAAATCACTTTATGGGCTTAAACAAGCCCCTAGGCAATAGTATTTGAAGTTTAATTCCTTTGTGCAAACTTTAGGCTTTGTGAAAAGCAACTATGATTCATGTTTGTTCTACAAAGGTTCAGGTGGAGCTGAATCTATATATCTCCTATTGTATGTTGATGATATATTGCTTGCTTGTCATGATAAAACTGAGATTGAATTTGTTAAATCAAAGTTAAAATCTAAATTTGAAATGAAAGATTTAGGACAAGGTAAAAGAATCCTTGGAATAGAGATAGATAGAGACAGGAACAACTACATACTAACACTAAAACAAAGGTCCTATGTGGAGAAAATTCTTGAAAAATTTTCTACGTAAGAATGTAAACCTGTCACTCTTCCAATTGCTAATCATTTTAAGTTATCAAATGAACAATCACCTAAAACAGATGATGAACTAAGGAGAATGAAGAAAATACCTTATGTCAACACAGTAGGTTCCATAATGTACCTTATGGTTTGCACCAGGCCTGACCTAGCATATGGAATTAGTGTATTAAGTAGGTTTATGGCTAATCCTGGTGAAACACATTGGCTTGCCATGAAATGGATGTTAAGGTACTTGAAAGGATCATCTGATTTAGGATTAATGTACAAAAAGAGCAATGAAGAGATAAAACTGAAAGGGTATACAAACTCAAATTTTGCTGGTAACTTAGATAAAAGAAGATCTACTTCTTCTTACATTTTCACTTGTGTGTTGGTTGTATAAGTTGGAAGTCACAGTTGCAAAAAATAGTTGCCTTATCTTTTATAGAAACTGAATACATTGCTGCATGTGATGCTGTTAAAGAAAGCATTTGGCTGAGAGGCTTAATTAATGATTTGGTTTTGCAAACAATTCTGTTAGTATATATACAGATAATCAAAGTGCCATACACCTTAGTAAAAACCTTGTATATCATGAATGAACTAAACATGTAGACATAAAATTTCATTTTGTACGAAATATGGTAGAAAAATGTTTGATCAAGTTGGTTAAAATTCCCACAGAATTTAATCCTGCTGATTCCGGCACTAAGGTGTTGCCTCTAAATAAATTTAAGAATTGTTTGAAAATTTTGAATGTCATATGATATGATAAATTCAGAACTTGTAATAAGTTTCTGTTGATAAGGTTTAACTAATTTTTTCTTTTTTTTTGCAGGTACTTCGGGCAAATGAACTCAAGTTGATGTAGTATCTAGATCCATTAGTAAAGAATAAGAATCAGTTCAGCAAGGTGGAGATTGTTAATAATTCGTGGGTTGTCTCACATGATTCTTGGTTTCGTGGGCCTCTGTAAATTGGGCTAAATGCTCCACCGGGTTGCTGTGGTTATTTCAAGTATGATAAAAACGTGTTTTTGATAGTACGCTTCTTCAAGAATTAAAATTAGTCGTACACGTGGCTAAGTCTCTGCCCTCTGATTGTTTGGATGAATACGGATACTTACACACTGGGTCTTGGCTTTTTCATTGACAATTCTAGAGAATTCCTTGCAGTCTCTTCGTCTTACTCTCTGTCTTTCTCCCTGTCCTTCGTTTTCTGAGTGAAAACTAAGGTTTGGCTGTGTTAGATGAAATCGATCTTTATGATTGATAATATTCTGTTCTTTGTGTAGAGAAATGATTGTTTTGTGCGATCTGTGAGAGTAATAGCAGTGTTGTGTTGTTGTGTCAAGAGGCAAGAAAAAACTCGAAGAAATTTCGAATTTCTTCGTACATTTGTACACTGTTTTTGTTCGTTATTAGTGGATCTAGAGCTTAATCTTGTGAGAGATGCTCAACGGGTGATTAGGTTGCAAAACCGAACATTGGGGCCCTTTTAAAAGTGCAAAACATATCTTGTGCTAATTTCTTTAATTTCTGCAGTTCTTTAATGTTTTTGAAAGATCGATCATGAATGTTTTATGTTTTAAAACATAACATAAATTAATAAAATGTGTGATTTTTTTATGGCAATTTCTTGTGTGTGTGTGTGTGTGTGTGTGTGTATATATATATATACACACACACACACATATGGGTCCCTTAGTTAGGCATAACGGTATATACATATTTCAAAAAAGTTAGGGAAAATTGTAAGGTTGATTCTTACCTAATGTTCGGTAACAAGTTAATTCTTGAAATTTAATTATGGTTGCACAATTAATTTCAATGACAGTATGCATCCATATGCATTAGGTCAACTTTTATTTCGAACTTAGAGCATGCTTGCAAGTATTTATAAATGATTATAAGTTTCGATCCTATAGAATATGTGGATAATAAGTGAAGAGTAGTTATGAATCCTACAAAATGCATAATCAAGAAGTATGTTTGATCAATTTAAATTATAAATTAAAACCTTGCCAAACGTGTGAAGCTGCTCGTAAATGTAATGAAAATTTAGATGGTTATGACTTAAGGACTGATTGTACAATTATAACAAAAAAGTTGAAGACCTACTCGAATAAGTAGTTAGGTTCTCATGATACAAAATTTTTTTCGTAAGTGAAGCGATTCTGAAATCCAATGCTACAACACTTGTTTGGTGGCCATTATTTGTCTAAAACAATGTTTTGAATATACATTGAATTTTTGAAGAATGTATAATTAAAAGTAGGGAAAAATTTTAAATTTATGTACAGAATATTATATGAATCTTGCTACAAGTTCAGCAATTTTAATATCATGGTTGACAGTCCTCTCACGTACAAGAGGTGGAGCCTATTATTAAAATAATCGCGAACTTCACGTTTGTGACAGTGATTTACATGTACAGCGTTGTACAAAAAGTAATTTTCATATTTTATTGTGTGAATGTGTTGTTGAAAATGAATATTAAGGTTTCGTTTGATTCTCATTTTTATCAAAATATATTTTTTTCTCTCTTCTTTTTAACCACACTTTTTTCATTACAATAATATTACGCGTAAATCAAAAAAATTTCCTTATTTTTCATCAATAAATTCTTCATCAATCTACTATTCTAAAATTCATTTTTCCATAAAAATAGGTGTCAAAACACCCTTTAAAAATAAAAAAATAAAAACTGTTTTAAAGACCATCAAGTCTCTTATTAGCTCAACTCATGGATCAATACCGATGGCTTAGTGATTTACTGATATAATCCGCTATTGGTTAAACCGGTGGCTCGCCAACTGAAGCATGGATTCAATGACAAAACAAGCATATATATGAAACTTTTTTTTTTCTGTACTAAAATCACTGTCTCACTGGTATTTATTATTATCCTTCTACTTACTCTAATGGCCATCACATAATCTAAAACCCTAAAATTGAAATCCCAAGTAGCATGAAACCCCCATACAATCCCAATCCACTCTCCCAAATCCTCGAACTTTCTCCAGTCACATTTGAACTCTTCCTTCCACTCACAGCAGAGTTTCCACGTTGACTCTCTGCCCTACTCGCCAATTCCAGCGTACCTTTTGAAGCCAAATTTTCTGGCGAGAACTCGTGCTTTTCCGGCACCCCATTCTTCACCGACCCACCCACCTGCCACACTTGGTTCAACTCCACCACGTTTCCCGGCATTGCCAGCGTGGCGAATATTCTCATTACCCCGTCGGAATATTCCGCTCGCTTGTCCAATACATTGTACAAAATCTTAGACTCCATCATGGATCCGTAGGATGAAATATTGTAAGTTTTCACCACCATGGATTCATTGGACTCTTTGAATGCGACTAGAGATTGGGACCCCACCATGCCCGAGCCCGTCGGGTTCAGTGCCCAGGCGACCCACCCGTCGGGCTTCGCCGGAGGGGCGATGAATGCAATTGAGAGAGTTGGGTCGGGCTTTGCAGTCGGGTCGTAGGTCCAGTGCAGGTAGGCCTTGAGCGATGGGAGGTCAGTGCAGTTGGTGAAGTGTGTGGTTTTCATTGAGAAGGTTTGTGACGTGCAGGTGAGTGAACATGCCGGTGAGATTAACAGAGGCAATGCAATGACTAAAAGAAGTGAAAATTGAAGAAGAGAAGCCATGGTGGATTGAGCTATAGAATTCTGAACTTTTGGGAGTAATAAAGAAATGGGAGGGGGCGTGAGGCGTGTGAGGAGAGTTCGTTGGAGTGGACTGCAGGTGATATTTGTGGCGAATAAGAGGACAAAACGTGGAGTGATGTGATTTGATGGATTTTTTATTTTATTATTATTATTTTCTTTTTTTGAGTGATAAAATTTGCAGTCCAATAATTTCACATGTGAATTAATAGAAAGAGAGGTTATATTTGATATTATTTATGTTATTATTTTTCTTCATCAATTTTTTATCTTTAAACTTTAATTATTAACTGATCTCATTGTTGATGGTAGTTTACGTTAAATTATTATGTTTTCATGCTTTAAAATTAAGACTGGGCATGATTTGATTATGAAGGAAACTGAAGGAACCATTTACTGATAGGAATCTTAAAATTTAAAAATAAAACCATTTGTTCCGTATCTAACTATAAAAGTGGACTAGAACTGAACCAAATGATTCTGGTTCGGTCTGATTCGGGATCTTTATATCGAACATCTATAAAAATAAAATATGAAATTACTTGTCAATTTAAAAATAGAGTTGAAAAAACTTATTATTCTTGTAATCTAATAATATAAAAATTAATTACAAAAGACAACAAATAGAAATACATTCTTAAGCTCAAGATTAATTAATAAGGGAATAAAAATAAAAGACAAATTACTAAACACAATATAAAATGTAAAATCTGAATAAAAAATTAATTCTTAAGAAAATTCATATGACTGTATGTATTAAAAAATGCATGTAGTATTTATAACATGATTATCATCAATAATCTTCAAGGAAAAAATCTTGATTATGATGATTGACCACTTTGAAAAAAATAACAAAAAATTTGAGTTCTTACTTCTTACGAAAAATGCACCATTTTTTTTATTAGGATTGTATTAAAGCTATGATTTTCTTGTAAAGTATACATAAAGTTATTTAGAGTTAAATTTTGGATTGCCCAACAAGGATGATCTCATTAAGGACGTGTGTACAGTGTTCTATTGGATAATATATAAACATAACTAATTATAAAACATTAGAAAATGATCAGGTGTGTGAAATATTAAAATTGGAGAAACCTCAATAATTTATGTTGTTATGAGCAAAGAAAATAAATCCAAAAGAAAAAAAAAATTGTCAATGAACCTTTTTGTGCATGATTTAGAGTTTTATATGATGAATGCTAGTGAAGATTGTTGGAAAAATGGTTATGAAATGGGTCAAATTTGAGTTCAAATTTCAGTAGGACCCACCTTTTAATTAATACGGGGCCTATCATATTTACGTTCTACTCTGCGAGATGATTAACGTGATATATTTATTTGTCGAAAATCATTTAGAATTGAATGAAATATTAAGTGTTAAAGTAACCCACATAAAACTAAGTATTATGGAGGAATTTGACTTTTCGAACACTTATCCCACATAGAAAAGTTAGGAAACTTTAGTGTGGTTTATAAGGTGAAAGTTTGGGAATTGGGTTTGGGCCCCAGGTGGTATTAATAGTTTTTGGAAAGGAGAAGACCTATATCCTATTGGGTTCGGTTATAAACCCACACGTGCGCCGCCGTCCATCCGGCCGGCACGGCACGTGCACGAGTCCGAGTCCGAGTCCGAGTCTGGTTCGTGTTTGGGTGGAGGTGGACCTTTGCACTATATTGACTTTTTGAACAAAATTTATTTAAATTTTTGGGCCAAATTGTAATAATCAAATTCTTGGGTACATTATGAAATTTAAATTTTTGGATTATTCCAGGTGATTTTTTGGTATGGATGGACTGTTTAACAGTTGTCTGTTAACCGACCAAACAGTCGACTGTTAACTGATTTAACAGACGCGATTTTAGAACAACATGTCTGTTCCGGGTTTTTGAGGTTTTTGAATCTTATTCTCCTCTCTCTCGTTCTGATATTGTTTCGAAGTCAAATACATTTCGTTGAGTTCGTTGGAACTCCTGTAGATTGCTGTGCTGCTTCCGTTAGAGACGAAAATTAGTTCTATCCTGAAAAACGATTGCTAGACGCCTTTTGCACCATTGAAGGCAGCAAATTCGTTTTAAGGAAATATCGTGAAGTCGATGGGCTCAAATTACATTTTGGATTCTGTTGATCATTTCTTACATTCAAGTGATTCTGTTGAATTGTTTTCGAAGGAGTAACTTCAAACTCTAGAAACAATAATCTTAAAACGAATTTCGCTATTACTCTATTTATGTTTTTACTCCTTCTTACAGTTGATCTTCTGATTGTGTTTCAAAAATGGCAACTTCTGGTACCACACTCTGGAATACTACCGCGGAAAAATTAGAAAAATTTAATGGGTCAGATTTCAAGCATTGGCAATAGAAAATGTTTTTTAATCTGACAACATTAAATCTGGCTAAATTTCTCAAAGAAGAAGCGCCTTCATATATCGAGCAAGACAGTGATGCTGAAAAATTGGCTGTGGTTGATGCATGGAAGCATTCTAATTTTCTGTGCAGAAATTATGTACTCAATGGATTGGACAACAAATTATATAATGTATACTGCAATGTGAAGTCCGCAAAAGAACTATGGTAATTTTTGGACACCAAGTATTAAACCGAAGATGCTGGCACAAAAAAATTTATTGTCGGTCGGCTTTTGAACTATAAAATGGTTGACAGCAAGACTGTCATATCCCAAGTTCAAGAACTTCAAATCATACTTAGCGACATCCATACCGAAGGAATGAAACTAAGTGAATCATTTCAAGTCGCTGTACTGATTAAGAAATTACCGCCTTCATGGAAGGATTTCAAGAATTACCTAAAGTACAAGCGGAAGGAAATGAAACTTGAAAATATCATTGTCTGATTGAAAATAGAAGAAGACAATCGCAAAATTGGAAGAATGAATGGTGCATCTCATTCGATGGAATCAAAAGCCAACATTGTAGAAGGAGGCTTCAAGACTAGCAAAAAGATGAAGCACAATGGTGAAGGACAAACTAGTTCTTCAAAAATTGCTAAAAAGTTTAAAGACAACTATTACAATTGTGGCAAGGCATGACATCGATCCAAAGATTGTCGAAAGCCCAAGAATGTAAAGGGAAACATATGTGACCTATATGGGTTATAACGCATTACCCATGAACAATAACTCGTGATCAATTAATAATGACCTATGACTTGTAACTTATAAACTATAACATGTGACCAATTAATATTAACCTATGAACATAAATCAGCGATTTGTGATCAATTTTATTTAGCCCCTGTTTGTTTTCCATTATTTCTCCATTAAAAAGAAAAATATGACAATTATCCATCACATCAAGTCACCAAATTTGAATTTTTATCTCTTGTGTGGGGTCCATAACGACTATATTTTTCTTTCTCATTTTTACAAAAATGGGAAACAAACACCCCTTAATCTTTGGCCCATGAACATTAATATGTGACCCATAATTACCACCTTAAAATCCACTACAAACCACCGTAAAACAACCACAAAAATCACAACCACCAACATTTACAACCTCCATCTCTACCACAAACACCACCCCAACAAAAAAACCCAAACTCTCCATAGCTACCACCTCAAATCCACAAAGGACAAGACCAACACCTCACCACAACCACCAACAATCACAACCTCTATCTCCACCACAACCACAACCTAACCAAAAACCTCAAAACTCGTTGCCACCACCTCAATTCCACAAAGAATAGAGAACAGAGAAAAAAATGGGCCCATCTTGCAACCTAAAACCACCACCACTAGAAATACCACCACCATTTTTGGCCCCAAATTGCAATTGATTGAACCGTCCCAATCGTGACTCTGGGGATCAAAATTCGAGGCAATTGAGTAGCAATTGGATCAATAAAATGTGTACCCACTGTATTTAAGTGTGATTTGATTTTCTCCATGTGAATTTGTTGATTGAACAATGTAGGAACCGTCAATTGAATGGGAGACGATTGCCTCTGTTCGCCTGTGATTTGGGTCTTGTATTGCTGTCAGTGTGCCTTTTCCTATGTTGGATCCAATTATTTTGCATGGGCCGCAAGCTCCGAAACCCACTCAGCTTCCCAATTCATCGGGTCTTCGTCTTTCCCTTCCTGTGCTGCCTGCAAACTGTTTCCAAAGGGGTGTTTGCCCTCTACCTATTCCACCACCTCTTCATTGCCATTGGAGAGATTGGAGAGTGGAAATTTGGATGAATATATTCACAAGATTATTGGAGAGAGAGAGATTATTAGAGTGAGTGGAGAGAGAGAAAGTGGAGAGATTTTTAAAGGGTGTTTGCAGGGCATATTTCGGGCAAAATAATTCATTTTCCTTACCGTTAGCACCTGTTGGCGGACCCTTTTTTGACTAGTACACTCTCGTGTGGGGCTTAGATGACCAACAAACGGTCCAAAAATTAATTTTCTTCTTTCAAAAAATGTCCTCCAAATAGGGGCTTAATTTTATTAGTGAGTGATATTGAATAATATATTTATTAATAAATGTTAAATAAATAATTATAAACTAGTTTATGAAAGATTAACTTTAAAATAGGATTGATGAAATGTAAATTTAAAAGAGCAACATACAAATTAAAGTACCCTTAAAATTAAGGATTTTTTGAAAAATCGTATGAAATTTTTTTTAGAAGTAAAAGATACTGTGTAAAATAAAATAAAAATAAAAAAGTAACACAATAACACTTTTTTAAAGAAAAAGAGACTATCACTTTTTTATAGAAAATTGTCTATTTTTCTTTAAAAAAGTGATGCAATGTCACTTTTAAAAGTTTAGTGTCACTTTTTTTATTAAAAATGACATACAATGTCATTTTTATTAAAAAGTGATAGAAATTTTAAGAAGACGACTGAAAAAAGTAATAAATACTAAAAAAAGTAACAAAAATTCAAAAATTGTAACAAATACTAAAAAGAGTGACAAAAATTTAAAAAAAAATGACTGAAATTAGTTGTCACTTTTTAATATTACTTTTTTTTTTTGATTAAAAAGCGACATAATGTTAAGTGTCACTTAGAATGTCTATTTAATTAAAAAGTTATGTTTGTCACTCAAAAATGTGAGAAATATTTTAAGAAAATGATAGAAAAATTTAAAAAATGTGGTGTAAAATTAAGTGGAACAACGTTAATTTTTAAGTTAAGTGTCAACTTTTTTATTAAAAAGTGACAAAGTAACAACTATGTCACTTTTTATTTAAAAAGTGGTGTTTCTTACTCAAAAACGTAACAGAAATTTTAAGAAAGTGATAGAAAATTAAAAGTAAAAGGTGACAAACATTAAAAAAGTGACAAAAATTCAAAAAGATTACAAATACTAAAAAATGTGACATAACACAAATTAAAACATTGGAATCAATTCAATAAAATTACATAAAAATGTGACACAACAATCATCATCCCTTTTTCTTCGTTTAGCGCCAAGCATATTTAAGTCAATTCACCAATAAAACACCAATTGAAATGCTAAATATCTTTAAGTCAATTCACTACAATCGTCATTTATCAACTTAACCAACGTATTGACCTCGACTTAAGTCAATCTTATATGAATTCAATGCTCAATTAAGAAAGGGTGAAATCCAGTACTAGAAAAAAATTGTTGAAATCCTAGGAACACAAGATCTACATAGTAGTATTTCCCCACTGCTTGTAAGCAAGAACTTTCCTGTAGAATTCATCCATTATGGCACCACCTGAACTAAAAATTGTATATTGTTGCAAATTACAAGAAGCATCTAAATGGAAGGGTCTGTTTATATAACAATTTTGATTCCTTGCATAAAAAAAAACTATTATATGTAGATTCATATACTTTATTGGCATAAATCTATTAAAATACAACAAGTTTAGAGAAACCCACTCGTCAAGATTATGAAATTGGAAGCCTTTAAAGTTCAAATCCCTATGAACGATTGAATTCCAATGACACACTATCCACGCCAAATTGCACAGAATTCATACAATCCACCACCAAAACTCCCAAGATTCAGTCCCTTTCCCATATTTCTTCGAAATCATTATCTCGATCCTGAAATTGGTGGGCTTTACTCGAGTTAGATCACAACATCCTCATCCTCCCTCCAGAAATACTCAAGACCGTTGGTGGCAATGAATTTGGGGGTAGCATATGACAATGAAGTTGTGGTAACTGCGGTTCAAGGAAAGAGAGGCAGAGATAAACCCATGCGGCATAATCACTGTTGCCCAGTTTCTCTTGAAGACTCGAAGGAGCCTTCCAAATGTCAAAAGCACCATCGTCGCCACCACCACCGTCGCAGGAAAGAGATAGAGGAAATGTAAAAGAAAGCATATAAGGAACTGGAAGAATAATGAATTGATTGAATTTCGGTCAAAGAAAGAGAAATCGGAGGTAATGTTAAGAAAAATGGAGATGAGGGTATGATGGTTGAGGTTCGGGTGTTGATTGAGGTGGGATTTTTAGATGTCGATTATGATATGGAGGAAGGAAATGAACGTATTAAATGCTATAGGGGAATGTTTTAATCATTTTAAGGTATAAATCAAATTTGTTATTTTTTTTAAAAGTAATGGGCCTAATTTCCTCAATTTAAAAAACAGGGTAATTTCCACATATTCATATGTAGCAAACCCATGGGCATTGTGGATCTAAGAAAGAGGGCTTCTATTAACAGAGCAATCTTTCTATTCATGACCCAGTAAGTAACTGGATCCAACCCGATCAGCAATATTTTAGTACCCAAGCCCGACCTAAGTATAAAAACGTGAACCCTAGCTGGATCTTCATTTTCTCTATTAGTGCCACCACACGGGAGGAGACCTTATCGGCCGTCGCAAGAAGGTTCGAACTCTCTATCTTCCGCAAACTAATACACGCGTTTCTTTAAATTTTTTATTTATACATGTAATTTAGGCTTGTTTGTGTAGATTGCTTTACTATTTTTTAGATAATACAAGATTCAAATATTATGAATTAACGCACTTTTTGTGACGAATTGATTGATAGAATTGGCTTATGGTTCGATTTTTCTATAACTCAGCTTTGTTAGAAACCAAGTTCGTATCCTTTTTCACTGATACATGTTCGTAAGCATCATGTTGTCAATGACTGAAATGAATAAAGCCTTTATTTTATAATCTGTACTTGAGAAATTAACTTATAGCTGACTACAACAAACGACTGAGAATGTAGGAAATATTTCAGGTATGTCTAATTTGATTTTCGATGGTATGATACTCTGTCAAATTTATTTTCTCTGTAAAAAATTTGCTTCAGTATATGGTTTGAAATTTCTTGTTCATTTTATGTTATGATATAAATTTGCCAATATTTTGAGATGCCATTTAACTGATATATTTGTTAGTTGTACATTTGTTGCCTTGAGTCGGTCTTGGTTTTCATATTTAAATAAAAGGTAATTTTGTTGTAGAAGCAAGATGGCTGTTCCATTGCTCAGCAAGAAGATTATCAAGAAGCGTGTTAAGAAGTTTAAGAGGCACGAAAGTGATCGTTATGCCTCCTTGAAGGTACTTGCCAATTTATCCATGATTTCTGTGTCAAGAAGTGCAAAAGATAAATGGCTAATGAGTAGATTTTTCATTATTATTTCAGTAATTACCTGAGTTGTGGTTTCTATTAACATCAGGGGATGGTAAAATATGATTCCAAATCTTTTGACTGTGATGTCAGGACAATTTATTTCCCAGATTCTAGTTATTGCCTGGTTATTCTATACAAGAAATGTTTGTCATTAAGAATTAAGAAGTTTCAGTTACAGAACTATTAACTTTAGCGTACAATGTTATTATTATGTTACTTAATTTTTGACAAACTCCTTTCTACAATATTTATCTGGCTTTTTTTTCGAATCATGTATTCTCTCATCAATGTGATAATCTAATACCCTTTTCCCTGGCTGGTCTTTTACTTGTTTAGTTTGCCTCATTGTGAGTTGATGCCTCAACTGTTGTCCATACTAATGCTGCTGATCTTTGATGTTAAGTCATTCATTTATGCATCTTGTGGCAGACAAACTGGCGCAGGCCCAAGGGTATTGATTCACGTGTGAGGAGAAAGTTTAAAGGATGCACCCTTATGCCAAACATTGGTTATGGTTCAGACAAGAAAACCCGCCACTATCTCCCAAATGGATTTAAGAAATTTGTTGTTCACAATGTCTCAGAACTGGAGGTTTTAATGATGCATAACAGGTCACTATTCATTTTTCTACCCTGTTCTAAGTTACCTTGGCATTGTTAAAATGTGGCTGACTGTTTAATATGTTTAATGTTAGGACTTACTGCGCGGAGATAGCACACAATGTCTCTACCAAGAAAAGGAAGGAAATTGTCGAGCGTGCAGCACAGTTGGATGTTGTTGTGACCAACAAATTGGCTAGGTTGCGCAGCCAGGAGGATGAGTGATCTGTGTAATGGCTTTAGTTCTTCGATGCAATATTAAATCTTATGTAGCAACAGAAGATTTTTTGGCAGTTCTATGTGGTTTAGTTTTTGTTTAATTCTGAAGTTTTTCACTAAGACAGTAAGGCATGCTACTTTATATTGACCTCCAATGATATTTTGGTTCGTACATTTGCTTTGCTTCTGTGTATTGTCTACTTGAGAGTTTTCATTAATATTTCCATACGAGTAATGTTATTCATATTAAGAACTAGCGGCAGTCACTCTACTTGGCAAATATGTGTCGTTTGTTGTCTGATGCATGAGTCAATAAAAAATTACTACATTAATATACCAAATGATAAAGCGACAAATGTATGCCATTGACATGTACTATCAGTAGTCTTTATCATGATTTGTATTTATCTTTCCATATTCATGCAATTTTATTTACTTGTGTTTAGTAATCTTGACATACAAGAAGCCAAACTTATTGGCGTTTGGCCAAGTTTCTACATGGAAAAAGGATCACCATATCCGCAAAGTCGATAGATTTATTTCCAGTTGGATGAATCATAAAAAATATTGTCCCAAATCTCTCTTCAGGTCGTTAGATATGAATATGTTACTAGTAATTGCATTTTGGTTCACATCTACATGCCGTAAATTTAAGTTTAGCAAAAAGGGATTAAATATACTCTTATGTAATTCAGAAAATGAAATTTCGTACTCATTTGATTTTAGAAATATATCTTGGCTGTGGGCACAAATTTATGGGTACAACTATTTTCATTCACATTTATTATATATCTATCTCATTCTAAGTTCATCCCTATTCAATTTTAAAGTTTTAAAAAATATACTATTTGCATCCAGGTTATATTTTAATGTTGTCCTCATTATATCCATTAATTTAAAACTGTGCATCTAAATAAATTTTATACATTCATTCTACTTTAAATGCATCTCTAACACTATAGATCCTCACAATCCCTAAAACCATACACTCTTTTAAACAAATGAATGAAATAGTTGAATTGATTGAACATTAAATTAGCATATATTATTAACTCAACCATGTTAGATTAGAAGTTTTAACATTTTTATTCATAAAATTCAATCCATCAAAGCAAACCACTATAAATTAACATCCAAATTAGGAGGAGTGTCTCTAGAGAAAGTCAACTCATCGTGTTTGACCTATGATTGGTTTGCTTCAATCATATCTTCGTGGTATGCTTAGATACAAAATTGCTAGAAAAACTTCTTTATATTTACATAAAAAATGCTTAACATACCCGAATTTCTTATTTTTTAATTATACAAAAAGGCTTAACATTAATACCAAGTAGAAAACATCACATATTAGATATAATTTGTAAATAGTTCATCAATGTGAATCAAAATTAGGCCCCAAGTCCATATGGATAAACGTAATATGATCTGGTAATTAAATAGTAGCGAACAGATCAATTAACTGTTCAAACAATAATAGTAATGTTATTGTTTTTTCTTTGACTTGTAAATATGAAATTCTATTGATCAAAATACATATAAAAGTACACCGGACATATTCGGGTAAATGAAAATCATGTGACTCAGACAACTACTCCAGGTATACCCGGGCAACAAAAAGAAAGATGTACAAACGATATGATCTAAAGACCTGTCGCAAAATACTTAAATTGAATCAAAACATTCGAATACAAAGAAAACATGACATTATATACATGTGTTTTAATTCATCTAACAATGCTATCCACATGTGGTCTTAGATCCTAAAAAATTCTTTTGTTTTTGGCCATCCAAATATAGTAGATGATAGTTGCTAATGCAATCCTTTTGACCTTACTTTGCTAAAAAGTCCCTCTAGCCTCCTTCTTGATCCACTTCAATGCACTAGCAATAGTAGTCATTGCTCTTCTAATGCCCAACCAAACCTTAATATTCTTCCAAACATGAGATGAGAAAAGTGCATTGAAAAAATAAGTGTTGGCATGTGTCCTCTTGCGATCCACAAAAAACACAAGTGCTATCAATGTTGAGATACAATAGCCTTTCCTTAGTAACCAATTTGGATTACACTCCCAACCAAAGAATGAAGGAGTGTTTAGGAGTAATGTATGATCTCCAAACTTCAGTTGTCCATACCCTCTTAACCCCAGCCCGTCCGAAGAACCCATAAGCCTTGTCCATGCAAAAGCTGCCAGCTTTTGTCCATTCCAATAGCCTGTTCTCAGCAACCTGCATGCTCCCAGCTGAACCAACAAGCTGGTTTCTGATTTCCAACAGCCTCTTGAGTAGATGCAAGTCCCTTTTGTGGGTTGTCCACTCCCAGAATTTTTCCCCTTTAAGTACACGTGTTAATCCACTTGACCCAAAGTGAGTCCTTCTTCCTATGAATATTCCAAAGTAACTTTGACAGTAGGGTAGAATTCCAGCGTTTCAAATCTTTGAAACCAAGTCTTCCTTTGTCTTTTGGTAAGCAAATGTTGTTCCAAGCAACCAGTGGTTTCTTAGACTCCCAAAGGAAATTTCGGCATAGACTAATAACCCTTGAAATAACTGTAACTGGAATAGGAAAGATAGAGAGCTAAAAACATTCAACACCTTGAAGGACGGTTCTAACAAGTTCCGCTTTCCCTGCATAGGACAAAGGTACTCTAGACCAAGCACAAATATAGGCTGATATTTTGTTGAGAAAGGAATCATAAGAGCTGATTTTAAGCCTTCCAGCCGCTAAGGGATGCCTAAGTATCTGAAGGCATGGATCCCCTTGGCAAATTAGTAAAACCATAAATGTTCTCAAACTCTTGCCCGTGCACACCTGTCGTGTACAAGCTAGATTTATTAACATTCATTCTAAGGTCCGACATGTCTCCAAATTTAGATAAACAATCCATCAAGATGCCTACCGAAATTTCATCACCTCTAGAGAATAGCATTAAGTCATCCTCAAATGCCAAATGAGTAATCTTTAAGGAACCACATTTAGGATGAAAATTGTACTCACTATTCTTGGTTACACGCTTCAACATCCTCGAAAAGTATTCAATGTAAATCACAAATAAGAAAGGGAAGCGAGGATCCCCTTAACGAAGCCCCTTTTCCCCTTTAATGAATCCATGAAGACTACCACTAAGAGCAATAGAATATGTGGAAATACATTCCATCACCCAATCAATAAATTTTTTTGGAAATTCCAAACCATAAAGCACACTTTTGAGAAACTTCCAATTAATCGAATCATATGCCTTCTTAAGATCAATTTTAAGAAGACACATAGGAGCAACCATCATGTGATTATATTGTCTCAAAAGCTCTTGGGCAAGATAGATATTCTCAGTCATACTTCTACCTTCCACAAATGCGGCCTATGCTAGATCAACAATCTTCCCAAGTATAGGTCTTAATCGAGAGGTGATGTTCTTGGTGATAACCTTATGGAACACGTTACAATAAGCAATCGGCCTATAATCTCCCATCGTGGTAGAATGATTGCTCTTGGGAACCAATGCAATAATCGTGTGGTTAGTTTGCTTAAGAAGAGAACTAGAAGCAAAGAATTCTTTCAATGCCTCCATGAACTCACGACCAACAATATCCCATGACTTTTTGAAGAAACAAGAAGTGTATACATCTGGCCTTGGTGACTTATCATCCTCGATGCTAAATAATGCCTCCTTGATCTCTTGCTCGAATATGTCTCGAGCTAGGGCCAAAGCATTCTCTTCCGACAACTCGGAACCACTCTTCAAGATGTCAACATCAATAGGATGTCCCATACAATTTTTACCCAATAAATCACTATAGAAATGAAGGAATTCATCGACCACTTTTTCCAAAGATGTAGTATACGATCTTCTTCTCTGGTATAACTACATCTTCTTCCACTAGGGATCTAAAAAATTAAGTCCTAGCATAATATGGTGTAGCCCAATCCTCTGCATATAGATGATGGTACTTGCACCAAATATAAGTAATAGGTGGCATTGGTCCACTAGCATGACAATTTACCTACACACAATTACATAGAAAAACATAAGTAGAAATATCATTTAGTTAAAAAATTAATTAATTTAATAAATATTTATCAAGACAAAATGACAGCCATTGACAAATCCAATTCCAACAATCTTGTGAGATGTGATTACAAGTAGTTCATCCCAAAGGGGAAGAAATGCAAGATATTGTTGTTAGCTCAAGTGAACAAGAATAACCTTGTATATTGCAGCAATAACATGACCCATATTCGACGTGGTCGTCCAATACTCATGACTCGCAGAACCATCAAAATGGGAAAGTGAATGAATCAACTCATTGACCATATCATCATTTCCATAGAGTCTAGAGTAACTATCAATATGAGATTCAAGCTCTTTTATTAGGTCTTTTGTCACTGAAGACCAATTATCTTTGCCCATGTCTACAATATTAGCCATGGCTTGAAAATATCAATTGCCATCTGAGGCTACATCTTCCACACCAATTATATAAGGTTTTGAACGAATAGGAAATGAATCAAAATAAGCTATGGACTTTGATCTACGCGCTTGATACACCTTTTGTTATTGTCGAATTTGAGGCTAGCTTAATAGTGTAGGTTGACTTAAAGGTGTAATGGAACTATCCAATTGCTGTAACATATTGTCTTGTCCAGATAGCACTAACTCAAAATACGATTGGCCTCGACAAATAGATACATCTTGAACTATTTGTTTTATACGTGCAATCCATAATTATCACACGAGGAAAAGCCAGTAACAAATCTATTGAATTTGGATGTGCTTAGGACAAACTATATTTGTCCCCTGTAGAGGTGCGATTCCTCTCTATGTACTTATTCTCAACAAAGCTATTCATTATTTGTTACATTTGTGTCCTTCCAGCTTGTTCTTTAAATCGAAGTATATTGTAGACGTGCCTCAATGTGCTGACATTTGTGTCATCATTTTGTTTCAATGTCTATAAGATTTCATTTGGTCTCATGTGATTCTTTGACATGTCTACTAAGATTGAAGTCTCTTTCTTAGTTAGTTTCCCGACATATGAATGTCCTTCAAGGTTATGGGCAATATCATAATGATGTCTCCAACATTTTACTTTCAATATCCAATAATTACCATTTATCAATTTTTTTCCATTCAAACAAACGGGTATCCACACTTTTTTGTTCCAGTAACTCTACATCTCTTCCCTTTTTCATTTTGTTTGTTGGTATTCCCGTACGTATACAAACCACATCTTTCACACGCGAAATCAATTCTTGGTTTTCTCCCAACTTGGCCTAAGTTGGACTTTTTCATGACAACAATCATGTTATGTCTTTTGCTAGTAGTTTTAACCCAATCAATCAAGGCCTTTTTACTTGTAAACATCTGTTTATCATCAAGTATTTGTATATAAATATATGATCATATTAAAAAATAAAATCATTATTTACCAGGTTTGCCGTATACATATCTGTATAATCAGCAAATAATTTATTATGGACATCAAATATTTGTATATAAATATTTGATCATTTTAGAAAATAAAATAATTAAGTATCATGTTTGTCGTAAACATATCTGTGTAATCAACAAATAATTCATTCTGGACATCATAGTTATGTGTTGATGTATCCTACATTAATGTCATTGAATTCAAAAATAAATAACAACTAAAACATCATGTAAGTATGCGAAATAACAAATGGATTGGTACTTTTCTAAATACTTGTGAAGAAACCTACTATTAATGAGAGCAAAATAAAAAAAACGAAATAGCAGATAAATTAGAACTTTTCTAAATACTTGTGAAGAAACCCACTACAATTGAGAGTCAAAAAAAAAAAAAAAAAAGTGAAATAGCTGATGAATTGGAACTTTTCTAAATACTTGTGAAGAAACCTACTATTAATGAGAGCAAAATAAAAAAAACGAAATAGCAGATAAATTAGAACTTTTCTAAATACTTGTGAAGAAACCCACTACAATTGAGAGAAAAAAAAAAAAAAAAAAAGTATTGTAAAGATTAAAAGAGAGCAGAGACATTGAGTATGCCAAACACATCGAGACAGGCAAACCCAAAAGTTGCCTAAACCTATATGTATATCTTTATCCGACTTGAATATTGCACCAAACATTAGTTGGCGAACCCTACCGAGTTGACTCATTGAGTGGACATGCGTTGTAGGATCTAAATTCCTGGGCCTACTGACGTAAGCCTTGTCACCATGAATGGCCAATATTTACCACAAACTCAAGGCATACTTTCAACCATCAATCAAGAAAAGAAAATTAAAGCTCCCAAATTCAAACAAAAATCAAACAACAAAACACGGTAAAAATGTAATCCTTACTTTTTCAATTCCTCTTCATATATTGCTATCTATGTATATATTTGCTCTAACGGCGTCTCTTCCATTGTTTAATAAATTCATTGTCTATTGAAGTTTTGTGTATTAGAATGCTTCAAACATATTCACGTAATTTTCTCTGATCTATTAGAGTTCTAGTTAAACACACATTCTAAAAGAATTTAAAAAGATTTAGGATAATTTAATGAAAATAAAAATAAGTGAACGAATTTAAAGTAATATATTTTTATTTAATTTTATTTAAATGAATTTATATAGAATTTAAAATATAATAAAATTTTATTTTTAAAAGTGAATGTATAAATAAAAAGTGAGGATCGAAATAGCTGTACCAAATTTATGAGGGACAGTTAAGAGTTGCAAATGTCATTATGGATGTCCCCATGTTTTTCTTGATTACTAGCTGCTATAAACCAATCATTTTGGAGGTTGAACACCTATCTGTCTCTCATCCTTGTAGTTATTTTGGATCCACTCTTATGTAGCATTTTTTGAAATGTTGTGAAAAATAATCTAAATTCTAATATTTGCTTTTAAGTGTCTAAGTTCTTGATAAAGTTTGAAGTGATTTGAAAATGATGATATACAAGTTGAGAGAATTTGAAATCGATCAAGATGTCCATGTGATGAAAAGTTGACTCATTGTTGAAGTTCTTGACTTCCTACTCAAGAATGATATAATGTTCTCGAGGTGCTTGATATTATGCATTCAGAGATATGATGATCGAATTCTCAATAAGCATGGCATTAAATTGCATGGTGAACCAATAATGAATAATAAATTGTATAGGTTTAACTAATAAACAAAACTTTATTACAACTCTCATAGATAAATGGGGAAGCCGAGCTCGCATTTTTTAGTGTGAGCTCTACATCGACTCACATGGACTGATATGAGGTTAAAAAAATGAAATTTTCCATTGGATTTTAAAAACAAAAATACAAATAATGTGTCGGGGAGTGAAACGAGTTGGTTCAAACCACAAAATTATGAAACGAGCTGGTTCGTGCTCGACTAACCCCCTAAATGAGCACATGCAAGCTTGTAACATGAGTTAACTCGACTCGACTTCTTATCTTCCCTACATATATCTCATTTTATACAACTTTGAAATTTGAACGAAAACATCTTTTAATACTAAAATGGAATCCTAAAAAGGATTATTTTCAACATGTCTTATTGATTAATTAAAAAATAAAAAAATTGTCATTCTGAACTTGATTGGGAAGATTCAATTCTTCAACCCAATTCCTATTATTCTCCATTTTCTCATCCTCAGCTACTTCAAACACTCCTTGCACATAAGGCTCCACATCCGTTATCTTATTTCCTTTTAAGTCCTCAGCATCTTTCCGTTCAGGAATAAACGGCGTTCTTGCCATATCCAAGATCAAGTCCCAATCAACGGCCTTAAAAAAATCGTGGCCCTTGATTTTCCTAAGTGAAATTCTCTTCAACGGTTCCTTCTCGAGCAATTTCGCTATTAGGTCTCTCAACGGCGTCAACTCTCCCGTCAAATTGGGCATATTCGACAAAATCCGATGAAAAGTGTCTTTCCGATCAATGCCTTTAAACGGCGTCGTGCCGTATAACATTTCGTACAGCATGATACCTAAGCACCACCAGTCGACGGAAAAATCATGGCCGTTGCCTAATATGATCTCCGGCGCGATATAGTCCTCCGTCCCGACGAAAGAGTTGGATTTCTGAACCGAGTCGGACTCGTAATTCATTGAGTCACCGCCAAGTTCGACCTGATTGACTGAGTCCTCCGGCAAAATCCCCGATTCACAGCACTTGAAGAAATGTGGAATTTTCTTTTTCTTCCTCGGCTCCATTTTGGGCATAGATTTTGTGGAAGAATGATCTTCTGGAGATTTTGGAGAAAGTTTTGTTGATAAATCGAAATCTACTAACATTAAGTGGCCATTTTCTTGAATCATCACATTTTCTGGCTTCAAATCTCTGTAAACAATGCCCAATCCATGAAGATATTCCAATGCCAACACCAATTCTGCAGCATAAAATCTATAAAAACCCAAAAAAACAAAAAAAAAAAGAAAAAGAAAAAGAAAAAAAGGTTCGATCAAAACTGAAATAATAAAGAGAGACATTGAAAAATAGAAAGAAATATATTACCTGATAATATCGTCGGAGAAGGTTTTTTCAGTTTGTTTTTTCCTTAAAGAATGAAGATCAAGGCCGGGACAGTAATCAATAGCATATCCAACAATTTTTTCTGTTTGTAAAACCCCATGAAGTTTAGGCAAAAGGGGATAATTTAAAGAGTCCAATATTTCTCTTTCGAAGCAAATTCTTCTGTTATTCTGAGTTGAAGATTTTAGTATTGCTTTTAAAGCAAGCAATTCTCCATTCTCTGTTTGAACCAAGAAAACCACACCTTTCGCCCCACGCCCCAGGACGGATATTACATTCAGATTCTTCAGGTCTAGAGAAGGTGTTTCGTGGTGGTCGCCGGCGTCCATGGCGGAGGTGACTGGTAACTAACCACAAATTTAAGAAGTTTCAGTTGAGGATTCTGTCAGTAAATACGCGGCGGATAAATTTTCAGGTTGGTCTTGTTTGATCAAAACTTTGACACAAGGACGAATTTGGACAAGTGTAAAGCGGAGATTTGGATTTAGAGTGGGCGCTGAAGAATATAATATACGGAAAAGAAAAATGCTGAAGTACTTGCTTACGAGGAAGGAAGAAGCTGTTTGTACAGCACTTTTTGGTGCTGTACATGTACAGTCCTTCACTGTGTTGTAGGGTCCGCATCATTTTTTAATGGCACGAGCCCCGCCCCCGCCACCCCCCATCCCAATGTGAGGAGATCTAAGCCGTGCTGTACACACAGAACGGCTATACGAGGAATTGAAATCACAAACTAAAATGAATAATTCTGATTGTACTTGTCACTATTTCACAGGTCGTACATTTAGACACACGTCGAGATGGATGAATGATTATTTAAAAAATAATATAATTCACCCACCCCTTGCATATGCGAGTGGAGTGGCATGTACAAGTAATTTGATCCAAAAATACTATATTTTGTACTGAATATTTATTAAATGAGGGATTTTTTTTAAATGGCCTACGTTGGTAGGTGAAGACATTATGGTCACTTTCCTTATTATTATTTTGATATCCAGGTATCCCAATTTACACTAGATTAAATCTTGGACTCATAAGTCCCTTGCCCCTAGAATTTTGGAGGGAGTAAATCGCGAGTTATGCTTTTTTTTCTATTATTATTAATATTCAATGTTGCATTTCTTTATACTTGATGATATATAACTTTTTTTTATTTTTTATTTTATTCAAAGTAACCTTACAATAGTAGAATTCTGAAAATATATTTTTTATATCGTCTTCCTTTCTTGTCACACTAATTACTAATATACTTCTACAAATACTTGATAAAAAAAAATGAGAAATGAAAATTCATCATGAGTTTGGATTATGAAAATTAACTAAAAAAAATATATCAAAGAAGCGTTATAACTTTTATTTTCTCACACTTGTACAATAATTCTAAAAGAATTTGACAACACAGAGTTCAAGTTTAGCAAGGAACCCACTTAATAAATGTTTGCCCTTTGACAGTTGAAAAAATATAAATGTTTGCAATACAGTTTGCTGCTTATAGAAGTAGCCAAGTATTTGGTGATGGCCCTAGAAGCTGAAATTGCTATCTTCCAGCCAATTAAACATGATCTGAGTTCAAGATTTTTCATTGGTTAATATATCGGTCGAAAGATAATGAATATTTGATACATTGAACTGGACCGTTTAAATTGCAGATAGACATGACATAGCTTGTAGTTTCAGTTGGATCAGATTGGGTAGTGCACAAATATGACCCACTAGCTATGACCCTTGTCTTCTTGGGTCCAATTGTTGGTGTTCCCAATGCATTTTGCGGTTCGGACCATCCCTAAGCCGCTCTTTATTTTTTGTTTGTCTAACATGCTCTTTATTTTAAAGAGTCAATCTTTAAAATTATGTTTCGAGAGACTTTTGAAATAAACATTTCAATTTGGACAGTGAGCTTGGCTAGTGCATCCAAAGTTCTTCAATTTTCAATGGAAGAAAATAATATATTAATTTGGAGAGACGCTGATGAAAATAAAGGATGGAAAAAATAATTGTGTTAAATATAAAGAGCCGTTGGAGTACATAAAAATTGTTTCCCTCTTAATTTATGAATATTATCTAAATTGTAGAATATGCTCTTTAGAAATAGTGAGTCTTTTAGAGATACTTTAAAAGATTATACTCTTTCTTAAAGAAATTGCATTGACCTCCTCCAAGTTTGGGATGTCACAATCTTCGACTATATTAAATTAGTCGATATGAGTGAGCAGTGGAAGTTATGACATTATTATAAGACCAAGCATTTTATTTCTTTCCTTTTCTTTTTGAAAGGGAAAAAGCTTTTCATGGAGAGCAAAAAGAACTTCTCAAAATAAAGATCCTTTAAATGCTGTCAAAAAGTGCTCATTAACAAGGGGAAAAAATATCTTTTTTAATTATTTTAGAGAAGCTCGAATTTTGATTGAAGTCAATGGCTACTCTATGCTCGAATTTTATTTGAAACCAATGCACTTTGCACTTGGGAGTGTACATGCGCAGCGACCAAGAAAGAAATTAATGTTAGAAGTTAAAATAGTCTGTTTAAGTTTGGTTTGAGCATACAAATCTTACCATATGCTTGTTTGATATAATTGCTTCACAATGAAATTATTCAAATTGCTAACCCACACTCGTGACTCGATCATAAATAGAGGGTCTCAATGCTTTTTACTATCACGTTAGGCCACCCTAGGCTCCTTTCATTTCTAAAGGAGATTAATACGTAACTACTATACTATAAGAATCGATTTTTATAACTAACAAGCTCCTTAAGTAATTTCGTAAATCAATTATTAAATATACACTAAATATGGATTAAATATAAATAATCTTTTATATATAATATTTAAAATATATTTATGGAATTTCACCATTCAAACTTGATTCCGGGCCAAAATCACTGAACGAAGTCACAATCTTGTCGTCACTAGTCTGATATTTGTTGTTCAGGAGAGTTAAAGCTTGCCTGTAGATTGATAGGATTTTTCTCAAAGCAAAAATATAAAAATCATGATCTGATTTCGAAGGTAAAATAGTCTTCTTATAAGCTTATGATTTTACGTGCATTGATTTTTTCAAAATTTTCTCCACCTGTTTAGAGATTTTGCTTTTCATTTCTAATTAGGAATTTACAGTTCCTTGACATACTGATTTTTACGATCGTTTAGACTTTCAAGACATTATTTTTAATTTACAATCTGTGTGAACTGTCAATGTGACTATCTGTAGTCATAGGTGGGTATCATTCACACTGATAAATATTTTTGGCAACTGTGTCTAATTGTGACTACTTTATTGAGTAGATTGTGAACCCTCTTTTAAATGTCGTGATAGTGAATACGTGGAATTAGTTTAATCAGTGACCAATGTCAATGCATTGGAATTGACTCTTTATGACCCGAACTGTATCGTTTGTATGTGAACATATCTACAGTAAATGTGAATTTCTATGACCTGTGTTGATTTATTTGTGACTTCTTTATCCTAATATCTGATCAATGCCACTCATTGTCAATATGTCCACATTGAATGTGAATATGTTGTTTGAACTGATCTATGTGACTTATTTTTTCAGTATGTTATACTATTATATTTAAATGAAACATTATGCATCTATATTAGTTATTTGCGAGTAACTATGACCTGGTATCTACACATGGCTTGTCTCTATAATTATGTATGTTCCTGATTCTAATGAATTAAATTTGACATTCTGTTACATGTGTGTGGTTAGGGATGGTAGTTTTGCACATTTGCCTATTATACAGTGTTATCCTAGTGAATGATACGTACAAGTATGATGAGTTGGTTGAGCTTGAATTGGGCTTAATCATACAGAAGAAGCTATTGCAATGACCTATTCTTTGGATTTTACATTACCTTCAATTCAAATTTTTAGCAATAACGATGTCCTAACATATTTGATGCAAAATCTTTGGATGAGATATGATCGAGTTATCCTATTAAGGTTGATGCTATCACTTCAGATTCATTCCAGTCAAGATGTGTAGTCAACTTATATATTTTCTTTACAACAAATAACTCAAGATATATGTGATTCAGTTATGACCATTGAGGAAGGAAACATTGAAGATATGACATTGGTATCCCTAGCTGATTCAAGAGAAGTAGTAGAGGGAAATGTTTAATATAAAGTATTGAAATTAGACAAGAAGGAGTATGTGATAAAGTGTTCACATAATAATTGCAAGTGGATATTTAGATCTTCATATTGCGGAAAAACAAAAATGTTTAAGATCAGGAAAATATGTAATGGTCACATGTGCTCAATGAACATTGTTTTAGAATCTTATCGGCAAATGTCTTGCTCAATTGTGTCAAACTGTATCAGTTACAAATACACTTCTTTACGTATAGAATACACTCCTAATAACATTTTACATAAATATGGGTTATCTATGAATTACGTGAAGGCGTGAAGGTCACATGAACAAAAATTGGAGTTGATTAGAGGTGATTTAATGACACCATTTCAGTTGCTACCTTCTTATTTATATATATTACAACAGATGAACATGTGAACAGTTACAAAAATAGAAACAGATCAATTAGATAGATTTAAATATGCTTTATGGCTTTGGAAGCATCAACTACAAGTTGAAAATATTGTAGGCTAGTCATTGTTATTGATGGCACATATTTAAATGGCTACTACGAGGTACACTCTTTATAGCTTGCACACAAGATGCAAACAAAAATATCTACATATTACTTTTTGAGATTGGGGACAATGAAAATGATAGGTCATGGACATGATTTTTTGACATATTGAAGAGGGCACATGGATCTATAGACAAATTATGTATAGTATCGAACAGACACATTAGTATAAAGAATGCAATTGAATTCGTATTTGAAGAGGGCATATGGATCTATTCATACCATTTGCTTAAGATTTTGAAGACCCATTACGCAAAATCAAGTCACAACATTAAACATGTATCCAAATTTGCTATACGAGCATATATAGTGGATGAATTGAATATCAAATGCAGTAATTGAACTCAATAAATGAAAAAAAAAAAAGGGAATATCTAGTATGTGACTATATGTAACTTATAATTTGACTGCCTATGACTTGTTCTACAATATTATTAAATGTTTGTGACCAATTAAACCTTATTGGTGACTATCTGTGGCCATGCCTATTTAATGTCTGAATTATATTTAATTTATTGTTAGATATTTTTAACATTAATTTATTAAAAGATCGATAAAACTAAATTTATTTTATAGTTGGGAGTTAGATATGAGACATGGTCCAGATTACACATGCCAGCAAATCGATACTTTACTATAACTTCGAACATAGTTAAATCTATAAATGCAGTCACAAAGGTAGGCAAAAATTACACTTTAAAGCACTTCTTGAGTTATTAAGAAAAATAGTTCAATTTTGATTTTACAAAAACAGAGACAACACATATGGCACTCTCACAAAGCTTGCAACCAAATATGAAAAGTTGTTGAGAGAAATGAGCCATAATGTGCGAAATTTAAAGGTAATTATAATATTCAATATATAGAATTATGATGGTCACATTTATAACTATAGCTTTCTTAAATTCACAATAATAATTAGTTTATTTAATTTTAGATTTTCCCGGCAAGTTACACTTTGTTTGAAATGCATGATGATTCTTCA